GGGTGGGGGAAGAGCACAAGTTGGGGAGGGGCAGAGAGAGAGGGAGACAGAGAATCCTAAGCAGGCTCCAGGCTGTCAGCACAGAGCTCAATGCAGGGCTCAGACTCACAAACCATGAGATCATGACCTGAGTCAAAATCAAAAGTCAGACGTTTAACCAACCGAGCCACCCAGGCACCCCTGAAACACAGATGTGTTCTTATTTAAAAGTAATCATTATGGCTCCCAGTTTCCAGTCTGACATAGAAGGAACTCGGAAGCCATCACTCGCCTCCTTCCAAAGAGAAAGTCCTGAACAAAGTGAAAATCGGCAACTCTTCTTAGATCCATCAGACAGTTGAAATCTGGCCAAACCTCTACCCGCAAATTGAACAGAGAGGCGGGAACAGTGAATCACAGTGTACCAGGAGCAGACACTGGGCTAGTGCCAAACTGACGGACTGTTGGAGGACCAGTGCAGACAAGTCCTTGGAGCCCTGCCTGGACTTCCATAAGTTTTACCTCCAGAAGACATCCAAGGTTCTCAGGGTGAAGATCAGAGACAAGCCCCCTCACGCTTTTGGCAGGAGAAGGAAGAAAGGAACCATTTTGAAATACCTTACCAAGGCCTGTCCTCAGGAGAAACTATTCTCCCAACTTTCTTGGGTTTTACTAGAACCTAACCAACTGGAGGGAACAGAAATACCCAACCCTGACCTGCTCTAGCCTTCCACATAGGAAAGGAAATTATGCAGCTCCAGCCCATCTGAGGGGGGCAAGAAAAGAAGCCAAGGGTTTCTCTGGTCTGAGTGGTTCAAGTGGGGCCTCACATCGGCACTGTGGCCAGAGGACGTAAGATGGTCCTTATTTCCCTAGCCTGAGCCATGTACCCTACCTCTAGAACCAAGAGGAGAATCAACAGCCCTCATGAGTTGCCTGGAGTGAACAGAAGAGTAAGACCTGAGTGAAAAGTAGGTCATTACCAAGAGAAGGGAGAATGGATGTTGACCCTTTTCTTTGTGACTTTGCTCACAGCAAGTATTATTCTCTTGAAGAATATCCTCAACGGTCACATCAGCCATACCATTAGGAAGCTTCAGAAGAGCCAGGTCAAAACTCAGTCATGGGAATGGGAGAAAAAGTGTGGACAATGGATTTGCGGCACTGGCATACAGGAATTTTTAAGGGTGTGGAAAGATGTCTTTGACGTTCTTCCATTGACAATGTGCTAGGTTGTCCAGAAGAAACTGGGACTCGCTATCTGAGCTGCGGCAGTAAGGTCTGGAATGAACTGCACTGGGTGGTGGTGGTGGGGGGGGGGGGGGGGGGGGTGTTGAGCTGGCATGGGGGGAGGTCACTGAGAAGACAGGAATGCCAGTTGACTTGCAAGTTGGACCCAAGTGATTGGAGGCTCCTCAGCCCCTCCTCTGTCCTTGGAATGTGGATTCCACTTGCCTTTCTGCCTCTGGGAAGCTGCTCCAAGGACACAGCCTTGAGACTGTGATGTGG